TTGGCAACATGAGCACATCCAGTGAGGTGGCTCCTAAGTAAGTCCCTATTCCATCTAACGATGAATGATTTCACAGTCACAGCGGGCTAAAAGATCAGGCCACCTATCGATAATTCCCATGCCTTTTAAGTCTTGCCACTTCTTAACCACTCGTGCTAAACGATCATGTGGATGATCGATACTAAAGTATTTTGGGAGGTCTTTGAGGCCAAGTTCTTTGGACTGGCTGCTAGAATGCACTGGCAGAAGCGGGGGCCCTTTACAGAGTGAGGTCTCGCCCAGCCAGGGCAAAGCCTGAAAGACAAAACCCGAGTGTTCAAACAGGAGGGCGCTTTGCAGACTTCCAGGACACCTAAGTCAGCACGTTCACCCCTGGGCTGAGCCCCAGGAGCGAGGGGACGTGATCCCTGGCCGGCTAGGCTCCCAGTTCCCTGACCTCTATGCTAGGGCTTTCTGTGCCGCCCGCGTGGCACTGAACTGGCTAACACGGCAGGCTCCAGAGCCACACTGCTGGGGTTCCAGTTCTGCCCTGCCACGGCAGAGCTGTGAGGTCAAGTTGCTGAGCCTGCCTCCCGCCTTGTGAAGCTGGCATCATCACAGCACCCACCGACCGAAGGATCCAGTTAGGTAACACTTATTAACCACAACAGCAAAGTGTCTGCACAGAATGAACCCAATGAATGATGACGGCGGTGGCAGCAAACACTCACGTAAAGCACCTACTATCCACCAAGCTCCATTCTCAACACCTTATATTTATTACCTCATTTGCTTTTCACAACCATCCTGTGAACAGGTGGGTACTGCCGTTACTCCCAGGAAACCGCAGCACACAGAGACTGAGAAACTTGCCAAGGTAAGTAGCAAAACACAAATTTGTTCCTAGAGCAGACGTCTCCAGAGTCCGAGCCCTTAACTACTACACTGCGGTGTGGGGTCACTCGTGACTTTCCATTGCCAAGGTCGAGTCTTCCTATGGCCAGGGCACTGCTACAAATGCTTAACATGAATTAACGCACCGAGTTTTCACACCAGCCTATGACACAGATATTATCAATAAGTTTATATTTAGTGTTTCTCTATACACAACAAGGAACTAAAACACAAGGTGGGGACTGAAGAGGGGCAGAGGCATCAGCTACAGATAAGGGCTGAGCATTCAGCACCACCAGGAAAGTACTCTAGGCAGAAAACGTCAGTGGACACCTCAGGTGGGAGGGAAATCTGTGACGGGATGACCCAGGTGGGCAACAAAGCCAAGGAACTGTTTCGCCAGCTTCAGAGTTTTGTTGAAGAGCTGGATCACTGTGGCAGTTAGGGGAGGACGCATGGTGTAGTGGGAGGGGTTGGGCTTAGAAGGTGAGCACCGTTTTACATACTAGCCGTGTGTCTTTCAGGAAGTCACTCCACTTCTCTGATCCTTGGGTTTCCTTGAACTAAAATAGAGTTGTTTTGAAAATTAAATGAGATGTTCGAAGTGCCTAGCACTGGGACTAGCTCACGACAGATGTGTGATAAATATTAGTTCCTTTGCGCGGCACAGTGAGCAATAAACTAGGGCAGGTTGACTCATGGGCCTTGGCAGTGTAAGTAAACCACACACTGCTCCACTTAGGGGGGAACTGCGGGGAGGGGTGGAGACTTGCCGTCCTGCCTGGCCACGAACACATGAGTATTCTGATACGAGCAAAGGAGAGCAAAGTGATTTTTCTTCTGATTTACATCCGGGACACAGAAAACTTGGTTGGAAGATTTTGCAGGCAGTTGTAATGGAAGCACCCAACCCTGGGGAGGGCAGAGAATGCAAGCTGATGACAGTGGATCCTGGATATCGCATCTTGGATAAGTTGCCAAGTCCTCCGAAACACTCTCGGATGACGTCATCCTCTTGGTGATTACTCAGAGGGGTGGATTATAGTGTGAGCTTTCCCAAAGCCAAAATTATTGAATATTCGAGGTGTGTAAAATAATCACTCTTTCCTATTGGCAGTCTTTTTGAATCCCTGAAGAAAATGCTAAACTGTCATCTTGTTGATTTCCTTCGCATTTTCATCCCAACTTTCTCCAATAAAATGCTAGTTAATACTGCACTCATTTTCAAGATCTTCACCGTCAGTAAGTTATTACTTGTGGAAAAGAATTATAATTCTAAAAGAACATGTTTTACATTGTGGTTGATGGGAAAATATGCTCCGAACTTACAGGGAAAGACCAGTTTTCTGACACTTTAGCCCTATTTGCTCAAATGCATTACTGTTATAAAGCACCAATTATGGCTAATAATGGCATTATTCTCACCTCAGTCAGTACTTGGTTTGGTAAAGCCTTAAGAACTCTCAACTTTGTCAATCGAGTTAGCAATGAGAAATAGCCTATTTCACATAGATTATTACTTTAATGTCATCTTGCTCCCTAAACTTGCACACGGTCAGAATGAATTGTCACTCAATATACATTTAAATATATCTCTCAATATTAAGCGTGCCAGATTAAACACCCTCCAGAAGCCACCTTTGTATAATATCACAGTTATCGATGCTTGAGTTCATATTCATCACACTCTTAAATCTTTCAGGTTCTATAAATTAACTTCATGCCAAAGTAGGTAAAAGCAACAAAAATGCCCTGAACAGGGCGTTCAGGGGGGTACAGGAGTTTCTGTGCAGCTCCCGTGGGAAGATAAGGAATTCTGTCTTGCTGCCTGGGCCCCACGCTCCAACCATCTCTCCAGCCGGAACCTGGACCCCAGTGCTCCAGGATGCCTCCTAATGCCTCAGCTGCCACCTCCAACCAGGAGGTAGTTAGATGTGCCCATTCCATCTTTTGAAAGTCTTTTAAATTTTTATTCTCTATCCTATCACTCCACCTTCAGTCTTCCTTTATTAAATATTGCAGGTCAGAAGTTTTCCACTTTCCAAGTTTGTGAAACACAAAGTAAAAACATCACAGAACATGGACATCAACAAATGGCGATTGGGGGCACTTGGACTTAGAACCAAATGGACCCAGGGCACCCTCTAGAGCCCTAAACACTTTGAAAGTTTTCCCATTACATTGTATCCTCATCTGACCAAGCATTTAGACCACAAATGTGATTACATCTCTCTCACCTGCTTCAAACACTTCTCTGAATTCTGTCTGTAAAAAAGAAGTTAAGTTCAAGTCCAAAAACTGTCTATTGAGTCTAAGAGAAATAAGCTAGTGTGCTCTACTGGTCTAGAGTAACAATTTCCAACCTGCATGCTGCAAGAACTTTTTAAACATGCAGTACCTGACTATTTAGTCAGGGGCACTAACCTCTTTTCCCTTAGATTGTCAAATAAAAATAAGGACAACAGACAACACGACAGTAGATGTCTGGTGTGAATGAGTGAAAATTACATTTTTTATTATCATATCAGTAAGAAATATATATTTTTTACCATATCAGTAAAAAATATATTCTTGGTAAGCCACAGAATTTCAGCAATTAGTTTGTGTGCACCAGGAGATAAAAGAGGTTGAAGGTCTCTGGTGGAGAGAGAGCATTTCACCTTGAACCCCTACAATCCCCTGGAGATCGACCTGTACCCTCTTCCAAACTTAATGTTGTAATTCCAAAGACTGTCTATATTTTCCTATGAATGAAACTATTTTGTTCTCCTCCAGAAAAAAAAATCTGTAAAATTAAGGTCATTTTTGGATCAGATAGTTTCCTAGCTTTCACTACAAGCATCGACAAATGAGCCGTTCTGATGCCTGCGGCAATGTCTCTAACCTTGGCTTCGGAGTCCTACTTAAGTCCTAATTAAGCACCAGCAGCTCCTTCCATCAGTGACAAATGAAGGTGCACAGAGAAAAGACGCAGCCCTTGCTCTTTGCAAAGTCCCGTCTCCCTGGGAAGCACAAGTAGAAACGATTGCTGGGAGTGACAAGTGTCAGAAGAGCTACATGAAAGGAGCTAGAGGTGTATCAGGGGAGTGTCTGCCAGGCCGGTGGACGGAGGGAAGCAGACGAAGCAGAAGGTGCTACCCCGGCAAGGGAGTGTGACGGTGCAGAGCGCGTTAAGGATCAGAAATGAACTTCATAATTCAGAAAAGGTAAACATCTGTGCCCTGTCTGGGAGTGTCACACGAAAGCCTTACTGTTCACTGTGTTATGGTCACTTTTCTTTATCAAACAAGATGTAGTTTTTGCCAATGTAACTACTTACTTTTGACATCCCAAGAAAGTACAGCATTCTAAGGGCAGCCGATCAGTGCCCTCTAGGCACTCGCTAATAGCTAAAATAACTTATCTTGCTAAAATTGCTAGAAATCTCTGGAAAAAGAAAAAAACAAACCTCAGAGTAACTCCAGAAATAATTTTGCCAAGATTTTCTTTTCATTTGAACTTCAACAAGTAATTATTCAAACGGTATAGTGGCCCTAAGTACCAATAGCAAACATGTTGTCAAAGCAGCACAAACACAAATTCTTAAATAAGGAAGCATAGCCCCACACCCCTTAGTTGCATCTCACCCAGGTGGCGGCGAAGACAGTACCTGCCTGCTAGTTATGGAGATGCCCGTTAACCACGGCAATGGGCTACCAGGTACAAATAGACACTTAAAATTCTTAGATAATCCGCAACACTTCACGAAACCTTTCATAATCACTACTAAAATTTGGGAACACTCAATACTTTGATTTCTCCCCTATTTCCTCCTGCATTATTTACTCTAAGTGCTTGTAAACCACAGGATATGGACCGCCATTGTCAGAACAGAGGGGACAGAGGGGACGCATGCACGAGAGATCATGAAGGGAGAAAGGCCTCTAAACTGGGTGACGCGCCTCTGAGGAACTGAGATTAGATAGAAGTCCATCCTCACGTGTAATGTGATCGGAATTTTTTTTAACCAGAACACCAGGTTGCAGGATGTTTTGAATCTCACGACCGCCGCTTTTCTACATTCCTCCTTGGCCCACACATCCCCTTGCCCCAAGGAGAGCTACAGAAGCTTGTGTGCTTTTACTTACAATTGTGAAGTTCATGACTTTGAGGATCCAGATGGTCATGGCCAAGTTCACCAGGATTAAAATCATCAGGAGCAGGACAAAGAAATACAGGCATCTTTTCCGCCAGCCATAAATCCCCACTTTGTACACCTGTGGCCCCTCGGAGCCGGGCATGGCGCCCCGGTGGTGTGCGTACTGTTCCTGGGGCATCTGCAATAAACGAGGTGAGAGAGGCACTCACATTAAACTGCGGAGAGAGGGGGGAAAGGAAGGAAGGAAAGAATGCAACTGGTGAAGAGACGTGGCTGGCTGCCGTCTGTGCGTTCCCACCCTCGGCAGCGGGCACTCAGCAGGCTCCGAAAACCTGTCTCCTCTGGACACAGCGGCTCCCCAGGGTGCCTGCCTGCCTGCTTCGGTCCTCTCCATTTCCTCGGCCGCCTCTCCTCACGCGTATGGGGACAGCCACATACACACGTCATGGGAGGGGAGGGACGCCTAGGAAGCCACTTTCCAAATGTCTTGCAGACTCCAACACCTGTGTGAGGGAACCTGTCAAAGTCCTGAGGGTAAAATGTGGAATTCTTCGGAGAAAATCAAATAACCCCGATAGTTCACTGGTGTCATAATACTATCCAGACAATTTTTGGGGAGAAGGGAGGGATAACGACCTCAAGTGCAATCATTCTTAATTGCTAGAAAATCAGTGGCGAAAGTAACAATTCTGATCTCTCTATTCCAAAGTTCACGGGGGTGCTGCTGGGCACACAGATTGAGCTTACATGGTTTCCTCAACAGAGAAGTCACTGCCCTTAAGGTATTCCTTAGGTATCAGGCAATTCTGATTGGTATCAATCAGCTCATGTATTTAATAAACATGAAGGAGCCCCAAAGTCAAGTAGGGTGTACACACGTCTTTCAGGGGCTTGCAGGCTAAGGGGCAGAATGAGCTAGTCGAACACTGATTTCGGGAGAGTAAGATACGTCAGAAAAATATTTGTCAATGTTCACTAATACGCCGCCACCCTTTAAAGTAAGACTGCTTCCCCAAATCCCTCTTGTGCACAGAAATTATCTTTATACCAGCACCACTAATGAGGTACCAACACAAGTGTAAGTAAACTAATCACTTCCAGAAAATTATAAAACCAAGCCAAATTTCAAAATTAAACACAAACCAAGCTACCAACACGAATCATTCAAAACGGGAAGTCACTGACTAGTATGAAGGAAGAGGATTTGCTGAAACCAAACTGCATCCTGTGGGAGCAAGGGCTCCGGCACAGCCTCCCCTGAGCAGCCGTCCCCATTCTGCTGCGGGCCCTGAGCCAGCGGGGCTCCTACTGCGTTTCTCCATCCAAAGTGCTGCACAGCCTCTCCGTGTGGCTTCTCCTTCACGTGGCCCTCGAGGAGGCGTGCTTCCTTCCCTGAGAATAAGGCCTGCTTCTCTTTATCCTCATCTTATTCAGTAGCAATTAAATCAGTGACATGTGGTGCCCAAGTGACCATGGGGAGAAAAAATGTGGGCCCCAAGATCACATCCTTGGCTATTGAGTCATCTCCCAGATAGGGCAGCATATTATTTCATGGTGTTTAGGTAATCGTTAAAGTGTATGCATAAACTCTAAAGATCCCCCAGAGAGCTCGTGGCCTTTAGGCATCAGTGAAATTCCACTTGAGAAACCAAGTGAACTGTTACTCACGGTCAACAGAAATGCTCAGTAGAGGCCTCCAGGACATCTGTCTCGTCCAGAACAGGACCCTAGCCCTGAACCTGGGCCCTAGCGTATGTTTAAATGTATGTGTACGAAATGAGTAAGTGAAGAAATGCACGTGTAACTGAGGAATGGATGGATGCTTTCCCATCCGCTATGAAATCGGCTGCTGTCTGGAGGTGTACAAAAGTTCAAGCCAAACATATTGGGAAGTTCTATTTGAACCCTTGCAAGTTTCCTTTCGAGGCTCCCAAAGCACTTATGTCCTCAACGAAGCAGTGAAGTGTATGCTGTAAGAAAATCTCTTTTGTTACTCAGCTCCTTATAAATTCTCTAGGTCAGGCCTATAACAACAAAGGAACATCACAAAGTCATTGCTCACTGGCCTTTTTACAAAGATTAATTAGAAGGGGAAAAATGCCTTATAAATCTGAAGGAAATTAGGCCTTAATTTTCTACTAAATCATATTCTCTAAAATAAGGAAATGATCACAGAGTCTTATAATCATATCTGAAATGTTCTTTGATTCCGATCAACTAATTTTATGAATGACCTGATTTAAGACGAGTGAACTTGACCCTTTTGTGAGTGGCTACAGGGCTGCAGGGTAAGGACAAGCATAACAGTCCTTGGCTCTTGCAGGCATGCCGAACCGCAGGGACTTCCTCCCATGTGAGTGCACAGAAGCTACAGATATGGCCGTCACACCAACCGTCTTTCCTACGACATGCACCCTGACCAATGGGAGACTTACAATCACTCAGCTGTAGAAGAGAAATGTCATGTTCAATCAACATCACTATGGGACCGGGGAGATGGCTATCACGTGTGTGATTTTTTTTTTCCTACACAGATTGTTAGAACTTGCCAGAACTCAGGGATTGCTTCTGCTGGGGGTTCTCAACCCTGATGCTCTCAGAGGCACTTGTGGAGCTATTCAAAACATCACTGCTCAGGTCCCTTAAATAACAGTCACAAGGCTAGCACCCAGGCGTCAGCATTTTTAAAGTTCCCCAGATGACCCTAAAGTGTAGATGCGGTTGCATACCATTGGTGTAGAATAATGTCTCTCAGCATAGCAAATTCAAAACAAACTTTGAACAAATACAAATTCAAATTCTGAGCTCTGTGATGGAATTACTGGGTGGCCAAAAAATCTCTTTAAGTTTTTTTCTGTAAAATAAGACACATTTTTCATTTTTACCAGTATCTTTATTGATTTGGATATTTTGAGTATGTCGGCTACCTCCCATGTGGTAGAACATTGATTGTTCTCAGTTCAGGTCTCTGTTTCAATGCTATCGACTTAAACTGTTCTACCCAACTGTGGTATATCATCTATCAAGAAATCTTCAACACGAAACTTCACAAACCACTTTTGACGATTTTTGATCAGTTATAGCACCTTCTGCACACACTGCACAAATCTTTTTATTATGTTTGTACCTTCCTTGAAATAGTAACACCTACGCCAAAAATGTTGCATATTTTCTCCCATCTTCAATAATAAAATGGCTACACAAAAATTCACCAATTTTTATATGTTTTTTTTTTTAAATGCACACTGGTATGACAGCTGTCACAATAGGATCCAACAAAATTATTTTGAATGGAGTTAACGACAACTAAGCACTATTAGAGTCTTCTTACGGGAAAAAAGTAATGAGCTTTTTGGCCAATGCATCAGAACTATTGAAAAGATTCCCAGGTCATTGCAAAAGATTCCAAAAGATTTGGGACAACTTTTCTATAAAAATGACCTTCTTTTTTTTTTCACTGTATAACCATTTCAAGACAACAATCCTGAAACAAACTCCAATCTAGCATACAATACAGCAAGAAAGCAGAGGTCCTCTGCTTAAAGCAAGAACAAGGGATTAGCTACTCTTGAGGCGCCTCTGCAGAACCCACGGACTCCTAGAAAGCACTGACTTGGCCTGACACATGTAGCAACTTGCCGAGTTACTGAAAGCCCCGATGGGAGAGTAGCTCCCTTTCAAGGCACACAGTGAGTCAGGAGATGAGCAGGGATCAGAGGCCAGATGCATGGTGTAGTGGTCTTTTCCATACGTCACGAGGGTTCCTATGTCCCCACCTAATTTCATGAGCTACAGGAAACAGCATTCTCGAATCTGAAACTCGGTCATAAAGATGGACTGATAGATCGCAGACCGATCTATGGATAAGTAAGGAACAGGGAAGGGAGTGAGCAATTTTCTCCAGATGCCTGAAAAAGGAAGTCCTGTCAGCCAAACGTACTGGAATGGATATGTCTGTGGTCAATAACCCTGCCTGGAAAGGGAAAATTTAGATAATGCTGAGTATATTAATGTTTCTAGTAAAACATCAAAACATGTTGAAATGATAAAAACAAGAGAGGAAAGACAATCTCTAATCTGTGTTTCTCTTTGATTCTTCCCAAACGAAGTTTGCTGTCCAGGGAATGAAGTTGAAGTTGCAGGTCCTCCCTTGCCCAAGCCCAGCCCTTGGCCCTGGGAGGGGCCACGGCAATGCATTACCAGCATCATCCATTTTTACAGGATTGACTTAAGAAAGATGTTTTCACTGCAACTAGCTAAGACCCTGTCTTATTCAATGTCCCTTTAAGTTGGGTGGCTTTGGAGGAATTACATGCAATTTGGAGGTCTATCTAACAGAAGTTAAATTGGAAGTTCATAGTTCGGGTGCAGTGGGATATCTTTGTTATACATGGTTTACAGACACTTCCATATCTATGATGGTGTTTAACAAACTTTTTTCCCTTTCTCTACACTGATCATACATCAAAACAGTCCCAAAAGTTGAGAGCTTTGGCAAAATAAATCTCAACCACTACAACATGTCTTCTTAGGAGGCTTACTTATATCTGTGGGAGTATACCAGACATGTGAATTTCCAAAGGAGTCCCTCTATCTGAACATACCCTCTTCTTGAGAATTATAGGAGAGAATCAGACTTTGTTCCATCAGACTTTGGAAACAATTTTACATTGTTACACAACATATTTTATAGTCATATATGTAATCTCCCTGAATATATCCTTAACTCTTCTAAGTTTTTAAAACTTTTCCGACACATACACCTAAACAATGGTATATGTGTATATGTATATGTATATGTATCCTTCCTTCCTTCCTTCCTTCCTTCCTTCCTTCTTTCTTTCCTTCCTTCCTTCCTCTCTCTCTCCTCTCTTTCTCTCTCTCTCATGCTCTCTCTCTTTTCCTTCCTTCCTTCCTATCTGCCTAAGCATACATTTGTCCACTGAATGAACAAAAATCAAGCCAATGCTAAATAGCAAAACATATACTCCAGCAATAAGTCAACAGCTGTAAAATCAGAAGCAAAGGAATGCAAACTTACACGAAGGCACATTGCAATTGTACTGTTAAGTAGGCTTAAAGTCAAAGCAGTACTCTATTCTTTCATGAGGCTATTTTTAGTGTTCACCTGTTTAGAAACAAATAAGGGTGACTTCAAGACAATCTGTTTCTCTGTCT